GTGGGATGTGGGATGGGTGCTCTTGTCTTCTGGGCAGGTGGCCGGGCCAGCCATTTGGTGGGTGATCTGGTCCCCTCTTCACCTCCCCCCTCCACTCCCCAAAGCTAGTGTGTCTTTGCTGCAATAAGCGCTGTACGCGATGCTGGGTTGAGAAGGGAAGAAATGAAACACAGAAGGACCGTTCCTTCTCCTGTGCTATTAGCTGCTGCTGCTTCTTTCAAATGATCAGATTTACATTCTGTTAATGGGTCTTTAAAAATGTAATCGAGTGAGAAGGACTTTTAAAGATTTTTCTATGGCCTGGATACACACCAGAAGACTGGCAATTACTAATTCACTAAAATGAAAATGTGGGCCTCTTCTGAGGAAAGATTCCCTTGGAAAATTCACAGAAGTAGGCTTAGGAAAGGGAAAACTCTGCCTGGATCCTCCACTTGGTCTTGTGACCAGCACACCTCCTGAGTCACTAGACGCAGGCGTCAGGAGTTATTTTGCTTCCATTTTGAACACTGCCTTTGGGGACACTTGGGATGGGAGTGTTTTTCGTCGGCAGCATCAGTGGTAGGGAATATGCTGTTCGTGAAAACCCAGGGCTCTCTGAGCCTGGGTGACTTATAAGGACCTGACATGCTTCTTCATTGGGAAAATAATATAACAGAATGGTCTTCCAGTAAATAGAGCCCTTTTACCAAGACTCATAACCAAATATTTTCACAAAGATGTTATGTCCCCATGCATGAACATTCCTTTTGCAGTCTTTATTCTAATGGAGTTTATGCATGAATGTGCCTTTTTAAAAATGCTGTTTAAATCTTCATTTGCAAAAGAAAAGAATACATTTTGAATGTTTCAAATGGACAGTGGCTGCTTTTGCATATGAGTGTCCTAAAAAGTGTCGGGAATTGTACTGTTTGGTGATAAATCTACTTAGAAAACATGCTTTCAGGAAATATCCTAACACAGGTACGCATGTGAGCCGTGATGACTTTATAAATTCATTTTGATTTGGTATCGGTACAGCAGGTTTTCCTGCCTTTCTCATATTTCTGTGGCCCTGATATTTGCTCGAGGTTGGTCACTGACTGTGGATTTACTGCAGAGGAAATAAAAACCACGTCACTGCTTGGGAAAAATATGGTCTGCAATTCTTGCATATTCATACCAAACCGCACAAGTATCTTAGGTTAATTATTGAGCTACTTAAAAGGCAATATGCTACTTCACATGACCTTCTTATCTGCCGAAATGTAGGCTACACATCATAGCATGATTAGTTAACACTAATTCACAAAATAGAATGTTATTGCTGAATCATATAGCTCTTTTCTTCCGGTAAATAAATCGGCCGCAGACTGCCTGTGCCAAATGTGCCCGTGGTAGAGTTTTTCTAGATAAAAGGAGATATATCGGGGTAGAAAGCAGCTGCTGTGATCTTTAGGTGACAATGCACCAATGACACTGCCTTGCTTAGTAATCAAGTCAAATTTTTCTTGCTGATAAAAGTGCTCCAGGAGAATCAGTCCGGGCTTTGTAAATGTGCTACACTGTTATAGAAAGCGTGGGATGCACAAGTTCACGACCCATTTCTTGGTTTTGCTCTCTTCTATGAAAGGCAAAAAGCAAGCACTTTAATCTGATGGTGTGTCTTTGGAGTTGGAATTGAGGATTGTGTATCTCAGCTGTGCCATGCGTGCCATGGTACCCCAAGGCGCGTGGCATTGCAAGGCGTGCTTATTACTGTTTGAGACTGGAGTCAGCCTGGTGCTGGTCCACAGGCTGTGATGCCATATGTGCTACACCTCAGATCTCCATGGCAAGGGACACCTCGGCAACCTCATAGGATGCATGGGGCACTTCTTCTAGCTTCCTAAGCCCTTTCCAAGATAGCATGGTTTCCCCACACCTTGATTCCCTTCCAGTTGACACTCTGCCAGAGTAGGGCAGGGTCTGAGATCGAAGGAGCAGATGCAGAGGCCCCGGGACTTCTCCTTGGAGGGCAGTGGTACACTTTCAGAGTGACTGGTAGGCACCTGCATGGCAGAATGTCGTATCTAGTTGTTTATAAGAGAGTCCCTCCGAGGCAGCACCAGTAGGTGGCTCACAAATAGTTACAGGCTATGACTTGGAGGATCCCTCACTGCTCTGGGATGGAGCATTGGGTCTTGCTCCTTCTCTAGACACCTGAATTGCACTCATCCCCTTCTGCTCCCTGAGGAACCTGGGAGGTAGCAGGAGCCTTCTGTCTCAGCCTACCATGTCTCATCCTTGCAAGTAGACTCTGTCATTGCAGAGACCAGGAGAGGAAGTAGTGACCTCTTCTCTCCTAGGCTTCCAGGAGAGGTAGGGTGCTCAGCCCGACTGGGGCACTTGTCTTCTACCCAGGGAAGGGAAGAAGAAATGAAGGAGGTGGCCCATCCCCTGGGGTTGGGGACCTGCTTGATAGATGTTCTAGAGAGAAACTGTCTCCGTAGGGCCATCCTGGGATTTGCCATGGAAACACTGGATGGGTTCAGTTGTCTCTCTGAAGTTCTTTAAAAATCAGACATCAGTTAGCTAGATCCTGCTGTGAGCCTGTGCGATGCCCTGTGCCCTTAAAAAGTCATCCTGTCGTCCTGGCAGCTGAAGCCCATGCCAGGGAGCGTGATGTGGCAAGCTGAGCCAAGCTGGATTTCAGCCTCGCCCCCTCTCCAGCCAGGCCAGGCCAGCGGGCAGTGCCCATGCCTGACAGTGCTCTCCTCTCCCGAGGACCCAGTGAAGTTCTTTTCAGCCCAAACATCCTTTCTTTATTATTATTTTCTTAGATTACTTCTATTTTCCCAGATTATTGAGACCATGAAATAAGTTTAATAGCCACACAAAACATTACTTTTGATTTTTTATTTAAAAATTAATAAAGAACTTAGTGACAAGTATAATAATTTAATCTCTATACGTAATGCCATGTGTACATCTACATATGAGGGAACACTATACTTTTTACCTTGGTTTTGTATCAAAGTTTTTACTTAAATCTTTCTAAGAGAAGAATCATCATCTGTTAGTGACACATTGCAATTAAACTATGAAATGAATTTGAAAATATTTTTTTCTATTCTGAAGATAGTTTTATTTTTAAATAGGAATTAGTTTATCTTCAGTTTCCTTTTTGACTCTGAAAAATTTAATGATGATTATTATTATTTTTTGGTCTAGACTGCTTTCAGACAGTGATGTTGTTTTGTTTACTAGGATGTCCTCTTGTTCAGACAGATTTATGGTACTAATCGGAAAGCTGCTAACACCCTTATTTCAACTCACTGAGATAGCTGGGTTTCTTAAAACACAAGGAGAGATAACTTGTTGCAAACATTTTTATAACTTTAGTTAAAAACAGTATAAAATACATGAAACACATTTTTTAAATTTTATGTCTACATGAAACAATTGCACTTCCTTCATGGTACAGGATCCACTTGCTCATCCTTTTTGCACAAAAATATTTCTCAATTCTGTTGACTGATATTCAAGGATTTGTATCCTCATATAGTGTTTCCACAAAAGATGTGTTTTTCGTTGAATTGAAGCATACATTTGCAGGATAGTTTGAGTAACCCCCAAAGAATGTTTACATGATACACCCTTTTCATTTTTTCGAGTCCAGGTCTGATTGCTGATCACCAGGACCTTGTACAATCAAACACTTAGAACTAAAATAGATTTGCTGTTGAGTTGGGAGGAAAATGCATGGCAAGAAATAGCTCCAATCTGAAAAGTGCAGGTAGAGGTTCTTTTACCAAGGGTAACCACTTATTTTTGGCATCTAATCAGTGAGGTGTGCATGTCAGCACTAGATTAGATAAGAAACTGTTGGGCAGAAACTTGAGGACTAGTTTTTCTCGTATGTTAACAAACTTCAAAATTTCAGTTGTACAAAAAGAGGCAAAATAAGATCCCTTCTTCCTATTGTGAAAAGCAAAAAATTGATAGACAAAGTCATTAATAGACTAGGGGCTTTGGATTTCTATAAAAAGATACTTGCAAAGGTGCAGAGGAATGAGTGAAAAAATAAAGGAACTAAGATTTATATTGCAATGTGTAATCAAAAGAGAACTCTAAGTGTCACTGTTGTTTTAAAAAATACCTAAAAACATTTGATTTCACAGCTTTCCCCTAGGTATGTCATTTAGTACAACTTACTAATAGGTTAAATGTGGGTGACGTTAAGTTTGTTGGTTGGTAGCAGCTAAACTAAACACGCTGTTTCTCTTTGAGATGGCCAGGTCTTCCACAGTTGTTACAAAGCATAACGAATAGTATAAAATGTCTGGCTGCACTTTCGGTGATGAACAATGTCTCAAAGATTGATCCACAGAAACACTTTCCGGTGGCAGAGAACGCCTGGGATTTATTGGTGACTGTATTATCCATTGTGTATCTCTATGTGTGTTTTCAAATTCTTGCCAGAATGTATCATTTGGCCTTTGGGTACCAAAAGATTAAAAATGAGATCTAAGAAAGCTTAGTGTCCAATAGCTCTGACCCTGTCAACTTGCAGTGATTAAAGGCTTGTCCGGACTTTGGGGGCCTCCTGGCTGCTGGCCATTTGGAAAATGAGCAGTAAACATGTCGCAGGTCTGGAGATGAAGAGAATGCTAAATTTGAGGTGTCAATGTGACACTGAGATGTGGTTACTTGGCTTAGCGCTACAGCACATGAAGGCAAATATACATATAGTCACATTTTAGAGATTATTCATGGTCTCCGACCACTTGAAAAAATTGTGCTTTCTCCGGAATTTGATGTGCTGAAAATTGCACTCGCCCCCTGCTTATTTGCAAAATTAAACATAAAAATGAAGTCCTTTGCAAACATAAGGCTTGCTTTTTCTTCTCGTTATTTAAAAAAAATAATAAAGGCTTGAAAATAATTATGAGTTTTAGCTGTGTACAGAGTGACAGCCTGCCATTTCGCAGGTTGATAATGTAATACTTGCCGATCTGGGGTGGGGGCATAGAATTTTTACTTACCATCTTTGACTACATAAGTTTTGTTTCAGATTTTACATCCCACATCTGTGAACTGCAAAGAACAGCTGGCAAGGTGCGACATTTAATACCTTGCTTCTGTTAATTATCTGTTAGTACAAAGGCCTTTTTGGTAAGCAGGGTGAGAACTGGGTGGCGCCCGAGTCAGCCAAGGTTCACTTGATCCTATTCATTTTGGAAAAGGATTGACTTAACTCCAGTGGGTTTTAAAGACGGCCTTTAGACTCCAAACACCATGAGTTTTAAAGGAACCAGAGTTTCCATCTTCCATGCTTTTTAGATTCAGTTTTGGATTTTTGCTTGGGAGTCGAGGAGTAAGTCTCCTGAGAGTAAGGCGAAGGTGCAACCTGAGTTTCCTCAAAAGGATGGAGTTTCTTCAAAACTGGCTGGAGTTTGTCTTCTTGCTGCTTAAAATCTAGCTCCACACTAGAAAGAAAAGAGAGGGCAGAACTTAGTGCTTGATCTTTCATATATAAAGATCTCCCTTAGTGACAGCAAAATTTACTGACATGCTACCAGTGTGATGATAATTCATCCTATGTTTATAATTTAATTTTATGGTTCAATATTAAGCAGATGGCTATTAGCTTTACATCTATGTCACCGTGAACTGTTTCTAATAGATTCATTTTCTTTGAAAAAGAACTTATTTGCTTTCATTGTGAACCCCTGAAGTGTTGTTAAGGTATACAGCTCGTATCAAAGTATAGAATGTGTTTTTGAAATGAAAAGTGTGACATCTGAATAACCCTTTTGCTTGTCCATAGACTGCACACATGTGCTTCATGGAATAAATAGAAAAACAAAAGGATGAGTGTTCAGGGGTCATCTTAGGACATATACACCAGGTGTATGAAAGCTCTGTGCCTGTGCAGCTTTTCACAAGATCAGAGAAATCTATTTCTCTCACCTGAAGCAGTCGTGAAGTGAAATGACCTTGGCTTATGTTCTTCCAAAATCTCATTCACTCGAAAAACTGGCAAGAGCCAAAATATCCAGTGTTGAGGAGAACAGTGTGTTTATTGAGCCAACACGATGGAACATTACTCAGTTGTTATCAAAGATGCTTTTTCAGGCAAAAACATAGACAGCACACCATGAAAATAACCCCAAAGTGTAATTACATCACTGAAACCGTAGTGTACAAACATGGAGCCATGTGGAAGGATATTGGCCAGCAGTGGTAATATTTGTGTTAGAAGGATAGGATTAAAGATGATTTTTAAAATATGTGTTGTTTCTTATGAAGAATGCTTCAACTTGCCTAGGGTCCTCCTGTTTCTTCATGGCTTTGGAAAGAACCATTGTTGATCCCCTATCTGTAACTAACTCTTAATGGGTTTGGCATTTGAGATGGGACCACCCCGGTCCAGTGTCACTTTTCTGTGATGATCCCAGCACTGCTGAGCTTTGCCCCCCTTCTGCTTAGCTCCCCGAGACCCCTATTATTTGGACCTGGGCGCTGCATCATGCCAGGCCTCCGGTGAATTCTGCTCCGTGCTCCTTCCATGTCTGGTCTAGATGCCAGACTAAATGTCAGTAGATTTCAGTAAAGGCTCAGCAATGATGATAATGCATGAGCTCATAACATTTTATATCCAGTGGAACCGTAAACCATTTATAAACATGAAATCCTATTGATCTAGAGAACCATTAATCCTAGCCAAATTTTGACATTTTGGAAAGACAAAACAGCGAAGCTGTATTATCTGGAGTTTTAAAACCAAGTTCAAGACCCGTCTAATGGACCATTTTATGTTTTAAATCCACTGTTCCATTTTTCTTATTGTCAGACTATAATATTACTGACAAAATTAAAAATATTGTCAGAGAAGTTTATGGCTAGTTACCCCCTGCTCCCAAAACAAGAATTATTTTTTTCCCCCGTTTCAAAGGGTCTCTGAGGCATGTTGCAGTTTATAGGAAGTAGAATAAAACTTCATGAACTCATGTTTTGCTAGTGTAGAATGTGTGACAATGGGGGCATAGTTCCTCTTAAGGACAGTTGTAAAAAGTGCTAATCTCAGGATGTGGTGCATTTATGAAAAAATGAGCCTCAATTTTGTGGCACAGTAGAAAGAATGTGGATTTCTGTCCTGCCTTTTCCACTTGATGTTGGGCGTGGTGAGTGAGGACTCAGATAAGTCCTTTATCTTCTTTAAGGTTCCGTTTCCTTCACTTCAAGGTAGATAATAATTATTTCCTGACTATCTCACTCCTCCCCCCACAAAAAAGGTCAGTGAAAAAGTTTCCTAAAGTGTAAGATGCAACTCAAATATTATTTTTTTCTTATTATCTGTCGATTACTAATTTTGAGATGAGCTAACAGTGATAAAGATACCTATTAAAGAATTCTTCAACTTGAACATTTAACAAGGAAAACAAGAACCCTTCTATTGAGTCTGTGATATACTGCAGTATCCACTATGTTACACTAGGTACCAGCGTAATTTTATCAAGTTAATATTGAAAGCATGCGCTGTCCAGATTGTAGCCATTTTAACAGTCCCAGATAGGTTTCAGTTATTAGATCGGAGAGGGGTGCTAGCATTTCCTAGGCGAACAGCAGAATTCCGGGTACCTGTAATTATTGAATTTCCATTAAGCAACTACATTGGGAATCCTGTTATTAACCAATTTATCACACCGCAGAACCATGTAATCACAGAGTAATCTAATCTGAGTTCTTGTTAACAAAATGACTCGACTTTATCTGTTGGGTTGATTCCTGTTTGCGCTCCCCCTCCACTGAGAAGCTGCAACCAGGAGCAGTTTTCTGCATGGAGGGAGCATGTGCGGCCATGAATACCTGCTGGGAGATGCTTGCTCTGGGGCAGGCAACGCGACCCTGAGCCTGGTGCCTCCCTCCCCTCTGTAACATGCAAGTTGCGGTGTACCGGCCGGGCAAACTGTAGAGTCTTGTGCCCTGGCCATGAGGTGGGAAGAATGTGCTTTTCTCATTGGGGAAGGAACACACCAAGTCACCGGGATGAATCTGAAGCAGATAGCTGGCTGGAGAGGGCAGTATCTGAAGGTTAATAGTCTGGACAACTCTGGCTGACACAATCCTCAATCTTAACAGCCAAATAGCCAGAAGAAAGCAGCACCTGCTGTCCTGGTTAGAGGAGACGACTTGGAACGGAGCCACCAGGGGACATTCTAGGGCACTTTGACTCCTTTGTGCACAGATGCCCCTCCCTACTTAACACAGTGAGGAGTCCATAGGTGGGTTGGGAGGCTGCCTGATGGAGTGGTAATGGCCCTCACTTTGGGCTTCAACACTGATGTCCCAGTGACAGTGGGTGTGGGGATGGGGCCCTGGATGCTGCCTGGCAGACCATGTGGTGTGGGTGGGGTTGCCATTACAGACGACATTGTTACTGTCCTCATGGCTGTTACTTTGTCCCCTGCCTGGAACACCTGTCTTGGCTGGTGGCATGGCTGGCCACGCCTTGTCCCTCTGTCCCCCAGGTACACATTGCCTCCTCATTCTCTAGTACCTTCCAAAAGATCCCCCATCACCGCTTTCTTTTTCCTTCTCTGCACTTGCCATGAATAATTATTTATTTGTTTCCATATTATTTTGCTTCCATCCCTCAAATGCAGGGGCTGTGACCAGGGAGAATGACCTGTCTCTGTTCCCAGCATCTACAGCAGGCCCTGAATCATGGTGCTTGCCTACCTAATATTTACTGAATTAATGAATGAGCACGGAGCCTTAAAAGACAAATTCCATCTCGGCTTTGGTCCCAGTTGCCCTGGTCTGCTCTGCCCTGGTCAGTAATCTTGTGGTGCCCCACTTTCTCCTCCCACAATGAGCCCCCTCCTTGTTGCAGACAAACAGACCTTCTCCCCAAGCCGACTTTGTTGGCGAGCTCTGTGACCTGGCTCCGTTCTGTCAGAATTTAATCAAAGAAGATTCTGAAACATTTTCTGCAAAGCACACACCAGGATCTTTTTGGAGCTTGGCTGCTTTCTTCCACTCCCTATTTCTCTTTTTCTGGAAAAGCCTGCAATAAGATCTTGGAAAGGATGGGTAAGGTCAGCAGGGTGCACTTGTGGGTGACCAGCTGCTGCTGTGCTCTGCTAAGGGAAACCTGAGAGTGTCATTTTAGTCCCTTTCCACTTTTCCTGTGGCCTGGAGGAAGGCCTGGCCCTATGTGCGAGGCTGTACTGGTGTTTTCTGCATGACGTTGCTTCTAACCGCCATCAAAGGCAGCAGGCCTCCCCTGTGTAGTCTGGACCTGCTTCAGAGTGGTTCCAGCACAGAGACTTACTCTGTAGTCAGATGGGCAGACGGAGCGTCTGTGTGCCAAGTCTGGGCTCCAGACCTCGTCGTCTCTTAGGACTTGGCTGGGGGTTTACCCAGCTCCCTAAAGCCTCCGGGTCTTGATGCCCTGCAGCACACCTGAGGCAGGGCGCTGCTGCTGGTGCCACTCATCTCCTGTGGGCGAGACCTGCTGTTTGCACTGCACTGTCAAGGGACTCACCCATCATGCTGAATGCTTATTCCTCGGGAGCATGAGCAGTCTGGAAAAGTCCTGACTCTGGAGTTTCAAAGCATGAATGTGAATGTGGAGCCAGGCCAGCCTTACCTGTGCTAGGTGCTCTCCCTTAATTATCACCCGAGTTAGACAAAGGCTGCAGACAGTGTGGGGTGAGACAGAAAGTTCCAGGACTGCTGGGGCTGTGTACAAGATTTAAATACCCAGAAGCTGCTATATGCTTATGTCTCTCCTTTCTCTGCCTTCGTCCCTTTCCTCCCACCAGACAACGGAACCATTCAATAAACCCTTGGCATTGAGAAGTCCACATGAACTGAAGCTGTGCCACTGTGCGTGCCATTGCAAAGCCATTTGGAGCACTCTGTGTGCCTCATGGTGATGAATGATTAGAGCAATGGGGTGTAGACTTAATTTCTTTGCTTAGTCTTTTTCTCTTAAAAATGAAGTTTTAAGGATGGGGGCTTTTCTTATGAAATTATTCTTCTGTACATTTCCAAAGAAATAAAAATCGGTCCTACATCCCAGCTGCTCCGTCTGCTGGCACCCTAATAGCTTTACTTGCTTCCTGGAGACTCTGCTAGGCTCTGTAGTAACACTTCTCCCGGCACTGCATGGGATTGTGCAGGAGTGTTGTTCTAGCTCCTCCGGCTGATACTCTGCTGTCTAATGCTCCTATAAATACACGGACCCTGCCACGGTTTCCTCAGCAAGCTGTCACGTACTCCTCAAATTAATTTAAGGGGAATGTATTTAAAACACACCATTCTCCAATCCCCTGTGTGTAGTGCATAAGAGTTAAAAGCAGGTGAATTTGGCACCCAAGCACTTGTTTGTTTTCTAGCGTGGAAGGAAGCCTGAAATCTCGGATGTCTCTGGCCTCGACAGCATCAGCGTGGCTCAGTGGGCTGCAGAGCAGAGGCT